GTGCAGCCTGGCTGGTACGGCTCAGTTGGTTGAGCTACTGTCCTCGTCCTTCCACGCACCAGGAGGTCTTGGGTTCAATTCCCAAGGGCAAATGCTTAGACTGCAGGCTTAATCCCCAGTAGGGGGAGTGCAGGAGGCAGCCAATGTTTCTATCTCTTTACCCCTCTCCCTCTAAAAAAAAAAAAAAAAGGAAAGAAAGAAAAAAAATCAATAAAAACATATTTTAAATGACCCAAACCCTGCCTGTGTTTCTCAGTGGTTAGAGCGTAGGTGTACACACTGGAGGATCGAGGGTTTGATTTCCGGTCAAGGACACGTACCTGGGTTTCAGACTTGATCCCGGACCCTGGTGGGGGCGCGTGTGGGAGGCAACTAATCGATGTGTCTCTCACATCAATGTTTCTCTCTTTCTTTCCCCTCCCTTCTACTCTCTCTAAAAATCAATGGAAAAAATATCCTCATTCCTTGGGTGAGGCTTAAAAAAGAACACAAACGTCCCAAGATTTCAGAGTTAATCAGAGATTCATGTAAAGACTCACTGTCTCCTTCTCCGGGTCAAATGTCTCCTTCAGGCTCTCCGCTTCTTCATCTAAGCCATGGGTAGCAGCTGTGAGGTACGCCAGTGACTCTGCAGAGAAAACGGACTGTGGTTCAGGTACATCCAAGTGGATGCTGCTGAGGGTAGGCAGACTCAAAGCTGCCTCCCCAGTGATCCCTGCCCCCAGGTATTCAAGTCCTTGCATAATCCCATCCCCTTAAGTGTGGCTGGACTTGTTGATTTGCTTCTAATGAATAGAACATCATGGCAGAAGTAATGAGACATCAATCCTGAGATTAGGATACAAATACTGTAACTTCCATCTTGGGTGCCTCCTCTTGTTCACTTGCTCTGAGGGAAGCCAGCTGTCATGAATTGCACTATGGAGTAGAAAAATGCCATCTCCCAGCCAATAGCCAGCGGGGACCTGAGGACTGCCCATGCCATGTAGTGAGCGCAGGAGCGGATCCTCCCCCACGTGAGCCTTGAGATGTCTGCAACCTTGGCCAACACCTTGATTGCAGCCTCATGAGAAACACTAAGCCATGTTGCATATGAAAACAGTCAATGTTTGTCTACTAAGTTTGGGTGTAGTTTGTTACATAGCAACAGATAACTAACACAGTTGCTTATCTTTAAGATCTATCATTAATGTTGATGAGAACCTGGGAATCACTGCTAACTCCTCTGTTAAACACCCTACATCCAGTCCTTCAATAAATCATGTTGATTCTACCTTTATACACTAAAAATCTGACCATTGCTCACCCCTTCACTGCTAGCACATTGGTCCAAACCACATTTTGTACATTTCTTGTTCCCCAACGTATCTCACATGCTAGTATAATACTTGGTATATAGTGACACTTGAAAAATATCCCTGGAATATATAAATAAAAAATAAATGAGCAAAACCTCATTGAATTGAATTAAAAGTAAAATTCGAATGGCATCTAACCAACTGCATTAACTAGGGTGCCTGCTCTAGGATCTTTTACAACTTCTAACTCGTCCATGACTATTAAATATGGTCCTAAGAGTGCTTGGACAGACTGAATATTATGGCTGTGCCTCCATTTGGCTTTGAAGAAAGTCTCTGAGCGTGGTAGGAGCACACTGTCTCTTCTGAAAAACTGCCAATGAAGGCAAATCCCTCTCTACTACACCAGATAACTCACCATGAAGAGAAAATACTTCCCAAGGCCCCGAAGGAACAGGGGAGTCTGGGTGGATACTTACTCTGCCCACAGTTCTTCAGGATCCGCACCCGTTCTGACACATCGCCCAGGTACAGGGCATTCTGATAATGGCCACTCATGTCCTTTCGGATCTCAGCTGTACCAAGTCAGTAACAGACACCAAGTTAGGTCTTCTCTCTTAAATTCTCTCTCTCCTCTCTAGCTTCCTCCTTCCCCCAAGGACCCTTCTTCCCATTCTTAGTTTCTGGGGCCTCACCAATCTTCATCATCTTGCGAAGTTTCTCTAAGTTGCCAGTGATAAGATAGAGGAAGGAAAGTTTGTCAAAGTTTTTGGTGCGCTGATAACACATTTCCACAATCTGGTGGTTCCCCTGTAGCAAGGCCACTTCTCCCAGCTTTTCCCAGCAGTTCTTGTCATCCAGTGCTTTGGCTGCTTCCAGAGCAATCTAAAGAATCCCCAGGGTCAGAGTTAACAGGATGGGCACTGTGGCTCCAAGCCAGGACTACAGTCAGTGTTTGCCTCTAAATACACCTCCCAAGGAACTTTCAGTCACACCTAACTTTCAGCCTAATTGTACTGAAAATCCTATTAATAAATATAACCCCTATGGAGCCATGGATAGAAGAATTACATCACATTGTCATCAGAAATTTCATTTTTACAAAATTACTTCTTAGCAGTTGTTGATTCCATAGAGCCAAATCTTTCTTAGCTATGTTACTAGTATTTCCTACTTGTCAAGTCTGAAGATCCACAGGGGCTTCAGGAAAGACAGAAGAAATAATAAAAGAAAGAAGTTCTGCCGTAACTGGTTTGGCTCAGTGGATAGAGCGTCGGCCTGCAGACTGAAAGGTCCCAGGTTCGATTCCGGTCAAGGGCATGTACCTTGGTTGCGGGCACATCCCCAGTGGGAGGTGTGCAGGAGGCAGCTGATCGATGTTTCTCTCTCATCGATGTTTCTAACTCTCTATCCCTCTCCCTTCCTCTCCGTAAAAAATCAATAAATATATTTTTTAGAAAAAGAAGGAAGTTCTAAACTGAAAAGTCTACATTCCTAAGCCCTCTCCCCATTTAAAAATAATGCCTACAGACTCTAGGGCCCAACATTTAATGAGTACTCTTTCATCTAAGCAGCCAATCAGCAAGTCAAATGTCAAGAAAGTAGATTTTTCTAATCCCATGCTATCTTGCCCCTATTCTAAATTTACTGAATTCAGACTGAGCATAAACAGAAGTGCTGTGGCAGAAGCAGACAGGAAAAAGTAGAAACGGGCAAAAAGCAACAGAAAGATGGTTATAGCTAACAACTAAAAAAACAAAAACAAACCCAAATTCTATTATACTTGCTAAAGAAGCATAATAATGCCCAGAATAATGCCTTCCCAATGCAACTCTAACCCTTACCTTCTCACATTGTTATGGAGCTTATAACCACATTGTTCTCACCTCAATGTTTCCACACTCCAGTGCCAGACTAAAGCGAGTTTTCTCGTCCTTGACAAAATGCAGTGCCACTTCAGGATAGCCCTTCTTCTGGAGATAAGCAATAATAGACTGGCCTACTAGTTTGGCATTTCTTACCATGTGCAGTACCTAGACATTTGGGGCGGGGTAGGATAGGAAATAGAGATTACTTATAGGAAAAAAGGAATGCTTCCCATCTCAATACTCCTAGCATGTTTTCTTCTTTCATACCTCATCATATTTTCTGTTGATCAGGGCCAGCTTGAACTTGAACTCAGTAGGATCAATGGTGAGCACACGAGGACGACACTCCCTATCTAGGCAATATACATTGTTGCCCTTCACCCTTGTGACATAGATGGGTAAATCCAGGGTTCGAATGATCCCATAGTCCCTAAGAGGAGTCAGAGAGCACAACTTTCAGTGAGTGAGGGGGGAAATCCAGCCTATGAAGAAATGGAACAAGCCTCGACACAGCCTTTTATCTTCTCATTACCCTTTTGTCGTTGCCATTTGCACAATGGTATAGATGGGAAGTGATTCAAAATACAGCAGAATTAAATGCCATGCTTATTTATTTTATTCTTTATTATGAAGTGGGAAAGATAGAGCAAATAGTATGATTTTTCTTCATAAACTATTTAGGAGTTAACAGACATGGCAATAGGAATCCGACCTAAAAGTTAACTGAAGTTCTGATATATAATCACTAGGCCACTATGGATAATTAATTCCTTCCTTATAAGGTATAAGAGAAAGTAGAAGAGAGATAGATGTGAAGAGTTCTAACACACACAAGAAAGATAAAAAGCATAAAATATTTTAAACTGAATGAAAACACAAAATTAAAACTTACAAGTATAAACAACATAATATTTGATGGATAATTTATAATGTTAGATGCATATGCTGTATTAAAAGAAATACTAAATGCATATATTAGGAGAAAAACTAAAAATTAATAAGCACCCATCTCAAAAAATTTTTAAAAAAGTTAAACCAAATAATGTACTTAGAAGAAAATAATAGCCCTAGCTGGTTTGGCTCAGTGGATAGAGCATCAGCCTGTGGACTGAAGGGTCCTGGGTTCGATTCCAGTCAAGAGCACATGCCCAGGTTACAGGCTCGATTCCCAGTAGGGGGCGTGCAGGAGGTAGCCAATCAATGATTCTCTCTCATCATTGATGTTTCTATCTCTCTCCCTCTCCCTTCCTCTCTGAAATCAATAAAAATATATTTTTTTAAAAAAGAAAGAAAATAATAAAGCCAAAAGTAGAAATTAAGAAATTGAAAAAAATACAATAGAGAAGTTTAATAAGGCAAAAGGTGGATAAAACTGATAAAACCTCTTTGAGTCTAATTAAGAAAAAAAGAGGTCTGACACACAAAGAAATGATAAAAAGCATAAAATATTTTAAACTGAATGAAAAGAAAAAGTTTACAAAATTAAAACTTACAGGTATAACTAACATAATATTTGATGGATAATTTATAGTGTTAAAGATACTGAGTCCCCTATACCTCAAGCCATACACAAAAATAAACTTCAGCTAGAGGGACCTACCTATAAAAGGCAAAACTATAAAAACTCTACAAAAGAATAAAAAGAATACCTTTATGATCTTGGTGTCAATAAAGAGTTTTTAAATAGGATAAAAAGTTCAATACCCATAAAGGATAAGATTCACAGATTCAACTACATTAGGAACTTCTGCTCATTACTAGTAAAAGTTACCATAATGAGAGTCAAAAGACATGCCACAGAATGGGAGGAGATACTGGTATCTGTAATACATAGCCCTGACAAAAGACTGATACTCAAATACAGTTGACCTTTGAACAACACGGGTTTGAATTACGCAGGTCTAGTTACACAGATATTTTCAATAAATACTGTAAATGTATTTTCTCCTCCTTGATTTTTTTAAATAAAATTTTTTCCCTAATTTACTTTATTAAAGACTATAGTATATAATACATATAACATACAAAATATGTGTTAATCAACTTATTTACATTATCAGTAAGGCTTCTTGTTAATAGTAGGCTATTACTGGTAGTAAAGTTTTTGAAAAGTCAAAAGTTAAGCAAGGAATTTCAACTTCGTGGGGGGTGGTGCCCCTAGCCACAGCTTTCAAAGGTCAAGTGTATATAAAGAACGCCTACAACTGATCAAGGATAACTCATTAAAAAGAAGAAGAAAGGACGTGAATGGAATTCAAATAAGAGGAAATCCTGATAGACGGTCAAATGAAAAGTTGCTTAATTTTATTAGGAATCAGAGAATAGCAAAGTAAAATTACATGAGATATTGTTACACACCCACCAGATAAACAAAAATCCATCTGACAAAGGAAGGTGTTGGGCAGATGACAAGCAAGGAAACTTTTATAGTACAACCACTTTGGAAAGCAATTTCACATTACCTAGTAAATGTAAAGATATGCATACTCTATGACCCAGCAGTGTTTGCTCTGGGTAGATACCTAAGAGAAATATATGTGCATATGCACCAGAAACATGTAAAAGAATATTTAGAAGAACATTGTCCCATAATAGCCCAAAACTAGAAATCACTCAAATATTCCTCTTGAGAAGAACTGATAAAATGTGGTATATTTGTATAATAGAATATTATACAACAATGAAATAAATATTAGAGCTACATCATGGATGAATAAATCTTAAACAAAATATTGAACAAAGCAAAATATGAAATAATATATTCAGTATGATTTTATTTACATGATGTTCAAAACCAGGAAAAATTAAGTCATATTATTTTAAGACACAAACTGAGTGGTAAAATCACAAAGAAAAGCAAAGAAGAAATTATCATAAAAGTCAGAATAATGTTATCTTTGGGTGGAGAATGAAGGGGGTTGTCATCAATAATGACCAAAGGGTTTCTGGGGTGTCAGAACTGTTCTATTTCTTGACTTAGGCAGCAGTTGTACAGATGTTTACATAACTATTTGCTATTCTCTCTCTATAAAATCTGTATAATTTTCTATATTTGTGTCGTATTTCACAATTCTAAAAGAGTTGAACAAAGAATGTTTGGATGCCCCTAGCACATGTATGCCTAATATGTTAGACAAAGCTTTTCCATGAAGAAAGTTCAGGGAGGAGTTCAGTTACATCTCTTGAGACAGGACAGTGATTTCAAGAAGCCACCTTCTCCCAAACTGTATCTTAGATAAAGTAACTTACCCAGTGGTGACAGCATATTTGATGTGGTTGCTTGTCGTATAGATAAATACCCCACTCTCATCCCAGGCCCCACTCTTGACACGAATGTTCTCATGAATGTTACACAGAGCCTCCAGTTTGCGGTTACAGATCACAATGGCTGTAAGAGGCAAAGGGGATGAGTGCTCTGCTAGATAGGGTGAGTGGACTTGCAGGGATAGGCAGGGAAGGACTAGCTTCCACATCAGGGTGGATATAATGCAGACTTACCATGTTTGGCCAGTAGAGCTACATGGGACATGTCTGCTGACCAGATAACATATTTCACCTTGGAAATCTTCACAGATGCCAGAGTTCTGGGACCAAAAGAGAAGGGCAAACATGAGTACACCTGATTCCTTTGTCCCAGGTTAAGACCTACCTTCTTCCCATCTCCAAATTAATGTAAACTTCAATTTCTTAAAGAGTACCAAAGAGACATTCTCGGTATTGTAGCTTAGTGACTTAAACATTTTAGCTCACACTGTACACTTCCTCCTTCTTCAACTCCCTCATTAATGGGCCTTATTTCCATTATTAGGGATTTGTATATGTCTGTTTTTACCACTTGACTATAAGCCCCTTCAAGTACAGAAACTGCATTTTTCATCCCTAAGTCCCTAGCATTCTTCATCCCAAGAGCATTCTTTGTTCAGGTTCTAAAAATAAATAAGCCCCTTATTATAATGTTATGCATATGTACAGGATGGAGTCACACAGGAGAAACACAACTTGGAACTGTAGCCCAAGAAGTGATCAAGCCAAGAGGCAAACTCACTTGGGGGAGAAAGCTCCCACTAAAGACGTCTACTCTCCCACACTACACGCCTGTCTGCTCAGGGGCACCCGACACGTTACCGCTTCTGCTGCACGTCAAAGAGTGTGATGGACTCTGCGTCTCGAAGCAGGAGGTTGCCTGTGCCGGCGTAAAAGATCTCATCACAGTTGGGCACCTGAACTTTTTTGGTGATTTCATTCTTTAGATTCTTGATGAGAAGCTGAAATGACAGTTAGAGGGGGCTTAAGAGAAGTGTGTGTATATAAAATGACAACAGCTGACAATGTCCCTCGCCCATTGTTTCTTAGCTTCAATAAACTAGGCTTGGTGTGTTTTTTCCTGTCCAGGTTAATCAGCAGTCTTGGTAGACTCTCCAACCAAGATTCTCTCCAAGGGCCCTGATAGCTTTTTTTATTTTCTGTTTTGTGTGTTTTTTCAATTGAAATATCCTGAGAAGTCCAATAAAGTCTTAATTCTTCAATCAACCAAAGAAAGAGAACAGTGCTTTTTGGCTTAAATTTGTTAAATATTTTCTTGAGAGAGCTTTGTTTATATTGTTTAGGGCCTATGACATTTTAAGTACCAATGGAGGCAGTAGGATAAGGTCAACTCCTCATCTAGACCACCTTTTTCAAATTTGATGCTGTCAAGGGTGGCTTTAGCTTGGTTCTTAAGCCCAGGGCCACAGTAACCCAATCAAATCAATTCTAAGTCCATTTTTCCAGAGGGGGATTGAGATAGGGCTAAGGATAGAGGTAGAGCTGATACACAAGGATTACAGCTGCTTAGAGGAGGGTAAAGGGGGAAATGCTCTTTATTCTGCAATACAAAAGCCACTGCTATCGTACTCCCCAAATTAGGTTCCCCTTTTAGTCTTGACTCACTGAGTGCATCCGATCTAGGACAGCAAACCGATTTCGAGCAACCCAAACAGCTGTCAGGCCCGAGGATCGTTTCCCTTCAGGAGCTGAGAAGAACAAAACCAAAGGGCGGGAGCATGTGGTGAGCCACTGGCAGGTGACAGAGTCAGGTGCCATGGAGCTGCCAGTCTGGCTGCCATGTTGGCTTTGCCAGTTCAGCTGCTTCATAACTAATTCAGCCATAACCGGGGGCTGTTGTAGTGACTTTCTCCCATCAGTCCCCTCCAAACTCCAACCTCTACCCCTGCCAAGCCTCTTTTCTCTAGGCCAAGTGACTGCATTTCAGCCAACGCCATGTACTGGCAGAAGGACTGCCCATCTTGGGAGGCAGCACACTCCATCAAGCTAATGAGCAGGGCCGCGCCGGCCAAGCTGTTGGCACACTGCAAGCAGCCTGCCAGTGTCATAGGACCTCCTATCGCCACAAGCTGCAGTGGAGACAGAGCCTCCTCCCCAGGATGCAGCTGCTCTGCTGCTTTTAACATGCAAATGCAGACCTCCTCCTAGAGCAGGGCGGGGCAGAGCACTCCAGCATCTATGCTGGGCAGTACTTAGCACCAAGTTGTTGCTCCAAAGACTTCTCATTACTCTGAAGAAAGTTACAAAATGTTCCCCAGTTCCCAAACATTTCACTGGCTGATTAGAATTCTGCAGGGCACTCCACTCTCGGGAAAACTTCAAGAAAGATACACCGAGTGTGCAGCAATATTCTCTGATCTATTAGTATCAGCAGAAAACTGGACAGAATGTGCTGCACAGAATGTGCTGGGCAGAATGTACATCTCTGGCGCCTGGGGGGAGGGAGTCGGAGAGAGGCTCTTTACAAAACTAATTCTTAGGACAGCCTACGCTCTCACTTTCTAGGAGACAGGGAACCTCACTATCCAGGCTTTCGGTCTTCTTCCTCTCAGCTGCCTACCACTGGAATGCACCTTTACTTCTTTACTAATTATCATCTCCCTCAAAAGATGGAGAAGAGAAAATAAAAGTGGCAACATGAAACTAAGGTATCTTAAACTCAATTCACTGTAAACACATGGTGGAGGGGGTGGGGGAAGCAAGGGGTGAGTAGAGAGGGACCAAATCACAAAACTCAGTCAAAAATGGCTTAACTGATTAATTTATAGAAGAGACTTTGCTTTATTAATACCAAAGACATATAGGCTTTTCCTTTTCTTGCCATAACCACAATAAGAACAGAGCTAGAAAAATATTTCTCAGAATTTGTTGATGGGGTCTAAACTATCATGAAAGTATGCTAGTACAACTGGGGACCTGAGGAATAAACCTGACCTATAAAACAACTGGAGGAAGTGCACTGACAGGAGCATTAGAAAGACTCAAATCTATTCTGACAATGTTTTGTCAGCAAGTTCTAATAGTAAGGACACCAAGACATGGTGGTGATGGAAGAGGTAGGCAGGGGTCTCAGCTGGATCCTGGAATCCCTGGTGGAATGTGGGGCTGTTAGCAGCCTCGTCTTTTTGACAAGCAACAGGAAGCAAAGCGGATCTGGATGTGGATGGGAGCATAAATCCCTAGTCCCAGGATGAGACATTGCAAGATTGGAACCACATTTTAAATAAATGAAATTTCCAGGGTGAAAGTCATATCAGCTGGCAATAAACTAGGATGACATGCTGTGCTGAAAGAGAATATGGAGAGTTTCTAATAACCAAATTATAAAATATATATATCTAGCTGGAGTAATAAAATGGAAGAGGAACATGAATATTTCACACCATGGTCGCCTGTGATGCAATTGTCAGTGCCACCTGCCACAGCCCTGAGTGATGTGGCCACAGCCCGAGGATGGAATGTGAAAAATTCAAAGAGGAGGGATGATGTGGGAGGGGAGAGCTGGAAGTAGAGTGGGGGAATAAAGAGAACACATACCATCAGGATTCTGAGAGTCAGCATCCTTGGGGATGGTGTACAGGTCATAGGTACTATTCTCTAAATTGCTGGCTCTCTGTAGAAGGAGAAAATTAAACTATTAGTAAGCGGCACCCAAGATATTAGTTTATTCTGACAGAGAAAACAGTATGAATACACAGACAACAACATGAAACTATACTTTTCTCATCCTTCACCCCAATGGCATTTGAATATCTCCATAGCTAAAACTTACAGGGCTTGTTGCCAAATAACTCAGCATTCCTGTCACTTCATTTTTCTTTTAACTTCCAAAGATGCAGATATTACTTGAATGAAAACAAGGACTGTTCTCTATTCCACAAATTAATAGACTAAGACCCCAATATTCCAGTGCCCTAACTAAGTATACTCATCACCTTAAAAGTGTATTTTAAGGGAAAAAAAGACATGAAAGAAAAGACTTTAAAGAAAATTGCCAGGAGGAAGATATGGCACTGTTAGATATTGAAAAATAACTGGAGCCTGGCAGGCGTGGCTCAGGTGGTGGAGTGTTGACCTATGAACCAAGAGGTCATGGTTTGATTCCCGGTCAGGGCACATGCCTGGGTTACGGGCTTGGGCTCGATCCCCAGTGGGGGACATGCAGGAGGCAGCCACGCAATCATTCTCTCTCATCACTGATGTTTCTATCTCTCTCTCTCCATCTCCCTTCCTCTTTGAAATCAATAAAAATACATTTTTTTAAAAAAGGAAAAGGACTGGATTAGACACTAGAAGTCATATTGGAACTCATTTTTTTAACTTGGCAACCAGGGCTCTAAAATTAGAATGTCATTTCTTTTTTGAATTGTATGGCAAGAAATGAGGATGATTCTACTTGATGACCCTGAAGACAACCGCACTGAGAGGAACTCCTCTCAAAGTCAGCTCTATATTTTCACGCAAACGGAGGGATCAAAATAAGCATCTCTTTCCTAAGGTATAACCTTAAACATTCTCTCAAATGATTTTTAAGGGTTTGGGTCATCCATTTTGATGCTCCATACAGTTTAGAAGGCATTAGTCAGCCTTAGGAAAGACAGAAGTTCACAAACCCTCAACATGTTTATGACAACTGAAGCCTACTTGGCTTGAGCCTGTTTTGGGATAGTCCTCTCAAAACTTCTAAGAATACATCAGAGATTCCTACGGCACAGAAAGAGACCTATGGGAAATGGGGAGGCCCTAGGAGCACTCGGTGGTTACTTACTGTACACAGTAGGACAGCATTTTCTGCTGGATTGTATGACATATTGAACACTGGAAACTTGGAACCACTAGAAATATACAGAGAAAATAGGAAAGAGGCATAAGGATAGAAGGAAGAAAGAATTATTCCCACACCTCTTACTTATCTAACCTTTACACATATATTGTCACTTTTATAATCAGGAATAAGAGTAAATAAATAGTGCATCTATGCCCTTCCTTCCCTTAAATTTTGGGGACTTCCCTATCTCAGCAAACAGTATTTTAAAAAAAGTAAACCTTGCTGAAACCGGTTTGGCTCAGTGGATAGAGCGTCGGCCTGCGGACGGAAAGGTCCCGGGTTCGATTCCAGTCAGGGGCATGTGCCTGGGTTGCGGGCACATCCCCAGTGGGAGGTGTGCAGGAGGCAGCTGATTGATGTCTCTCTCTCATCGATGTTTCTAGCTCTCTCTCTCCCTTCCTCTCTGTAAAAAATCAATAAAATATATTAAAAAAAAAAAAAAAGTAAACCCTACTACAAGTCAAATTATTCAACAGAAGGCAGGGTTAGCACTACTGTAATAAATAGGATTGGTTTTCCTTGAATACAAATTCCAACACATAATTGCAGTGGACACCACAGAGTAACATGTGATTTGTCTCTGGTTAATTTCTCCTGTTCCTATAAACCCATCTTTTTATGGTAGTCATGCTAGAGGGTCGTTATCAAGCCCTCAGGCCAAAGTTTGCCACCATGAATGTTTCAGCGTGATGATGCAGCTGGCTCTTAAAGAGGACTGTTCCTTTTGCCAGGCATCCCAGAAGTTATTGTATCCTCAGAGTTAGAGTTTCCAGAGACATATATCTAGTTTAGAGTTGCATGTATTTTGCTAGAAAGCAAAGGAGAGTTATAGATATGCCAAATAAAGGCAATAAGGCCTGTCATCAAATTGGGCTACTCTCTACCAGGAAGCTTTCTCCTGTTTGCAAGAGACCTGGCAAAGTGTGGCAGTATGATTTCCTGCCCAGAGTCACTGGCATTCTCAACAGGGGAACTCCCATTCCCCAAATGGCTATCTCCTTGTCCATCATGCTCTTGGGGTTTAAACTGAACAGTCTCAGCCAATGGGGGTTCAATCTGTGACAGGAGATAAGATCCAAAACGTTGTTAAAAGGACTGAGTTCGGTGTGAAGTGAAGAAACAAGTCTGATTTACCTCCGCAACTGCATCACAGCTACATCTTTAGAGCTGTTGAAATCCAACTGACGTAAGAACCGGTCCTTGACATAATGCAGCATATTGCCGTGAACAGCATAGGCTGGCCTTTCCCGTTCTAGTTTAAACACAATCATGCCACCATCATGGCCTGGGGCACAGAGAGAAGAGAGGAAATAATTAGCTGAAGGCAAGAAGGAAAGCTGGAAACAGGAGATACACAAAGATAAGGATTATATATGTATGCTAAAAACAAAGTTAAGACATCTAAATGCATCAGTTATTTGCCTAAATTATCATGATTCTTGGACTTTTTATTCAAACAAATTTCTGTGAATCCTTTCCGGATACATAAGTCCTTACCTAACATGGTTGATAGGTTTTGCAACTTTAAGCAAAACGATGTATAATGAAACCAACTTTATCATAAGGTAATTGCTATAAAGAAAAGTTAAGTTCCTACAGCATCTTAACATTATAATAAAATGCTGAACAAAATGATATTATTTTTGAGGACCTGCAGTACTTTCTCACATTGTTACATTTAGACATGCCTTCTTGTGTTCTCTTAACACTTTGTGCAAACCTCCATATAGCACTCACCCTACACTGTAACTGTGTATGTCTACCATCCCCATGATGCTATGAGCTTCCTGAGTTACAATAACTTCCATCTTCCCCCAGTCTTAGCTTATAATCCTATATAATAAAAGCCTAATATGCAAATCGACTGAATGGGGGACCAACCGGTCACTATGACGCGCACTGACCACCAGGGGGCTGACGCTCAATGCAGGAGCTGCCCGCAGGCCCCAGGCCAGCCAAGGTGGGTGCCAATGGGCCTCCCACCCCCCATCATCCTGCCAGTTGCCCCACAGATCGGCCCTGATCACTGGCTAGGCCTAGGGACCCTACCCATGCATGAATTTCATGCATTGGGCCTCTAGTAAGAACATAAACATATTTGCTGAACAAATAGATGCTAGTTTTGAAAGCCTTTGTGGTTTTGTCTAGACAAATGTTTTGCTTTTTTCCTACTGGCATCATCCATCTCTCAGAGAAACCTTCAACTTTTCCCCTACAGTCTACTCTCCACAAAAAACCAGATTGTGTCTCTTCCAATGGCTTTGCCTTCAGAGTAACATGCACAGTCTGGCCTGGTCTTACTTCCTGTACTTAGCCCCTTACCCACTGTGCCCCTATTGGCATGTTCTTCAAACATGCTCAGCATCCCTTACATCATGGTCTTTGGTAATCCCCACACTCATTCCTCTCTTTCTTCCTTACTTTTGCTTAACTTTCCTCAAAGCTTTTTCACTATATATTGTTATGGTCTAGCCCTCTTCACTGCAAATAAAAGTTCCATCAAGTAAGGGACATTGGTTTATGCTATACCACCAGCACCCACACTAGGGCCTGACACTAGTATGCTTTTGCTAAATGAATAAAACTCAGCTTCTAGCTCCTCAATCTAAGAAATCCATGTGTCCAGTATTACACTCCTAAACCTCCTGGAACTAATGGGCTTTACTGTTAAATGGCTCTCGGTAAAGAAAGAACACTGCAAGAACACTACTCCAAGAAGGTATGAAGGAAAAAAGCCTCAACAACATGGCTCTGAGGATTCTATTTCTCCTTGTCACCCTCCTATGCATTTACTGGAGACAAAGCTAATGGAGAATCAAACTTTGAAGTAAAACAAGGAAGTAAAAGAAAAGATGCGGCCCTTACCTGCTGCAAAGAGGTTAAGGTTGGGGTGGGCAGCTAGGACCCAGAAACGATCATGGTCCCTACGGAAGGTCTGAACTCCAGTTCTAGGAAAATAAAAGATGCACAAAGAAAAATATTAATTTCGGAGGAATCTTCAGCACATCCTATATAATAAAGAGCTAATTTGCCAATTAGACCAGAGGGCAGAATGACCTTCCGGAATGACCAGTGGGCGGGGTGCGAGGCCACAAGGCAGCTGGGGTTGCTGCAAGGGCCAAGGCGGCAGCCAGGGCTGCTGTGAGGGCCAAGGCAGCCAGGGCTGTGAGGGCCGAGCCCCTTGCATGAATTTTGTGCATTGGGCCTCTAGTCATATGTAAGAGTATTGAGTGGTAAGCCAAGATGTTAATTTAACTCAGTAACAGTATACTAAATATCCTAAGGTAGTCATGATAAAATCTACCAACCCCCGCCCCCCCAAAAAAAACAGAAGAAAACTCCAAACAGACTCTATTATTTTGATATTTCAATTTCTCTATTTGTCACAATTTTCTACTACACTGCTTTCATTTCATATTTCTTATTTTTCTAGCTACAGAAGAACATGCTTAAATTTAAGAGAAAAAGAATACACATGGAGATTTCTATTTGATAGAAAACTTGTAAATGTTGGTTGATCTTTAGGTCCCTTCAAGATTTCATAATACAGGAATACCTAGTTTTATCAAGCTTCACTGTATTGTACTTTGCAAATACTGTTTTTAACAAACTGAAGGTTTGTAGCAACCCGGCACCTAGCAAGTCTATTGATGCCATTTTACCAACAGGCTCAGTTGATGGTTAATATAACTTATATATGCACTGAGAAACCAAAAAAAATTTGTTTCTCGTTGTAATGCCATATTTACTTGACTATGGCAGTCTGGAACTGAACCCACATCTCCAAGGTCTGACTGTGTATGATCTGACTTCTTTATATGCTATATGCTGAAGACAATGAGAAACAAACATCAGTATTCTAATTTAATTTTTAAAAAGAAAGAGGGTAAGAGAAAGGGGCTTCCCTGGGTTTGATACCACTACATCCTAATCCCCTTACCGTTTAGACATGTCCCAGACTCGGATACTCTTGTCCTCGGAATTACTAAGGATCAATTCTTGACGAGGGTGGAAGACAGCACAAGACACGTTGTTGTAATGGCCCCGGCAGGTATCAACCTCCCATGCCTTTGATTCTGAAGGACCAAAAAAAGAGGTCATTTGGGATTTGGAATTATGACATCCTCTGAGCAAATGCTAAGGTAGACTACAAAGTGTAAAATTAGCAACTTCTTTTTAATAGGGCAATTCTCTTCATTTAAGCCTCTGAATCTTTACATATTTATTTGTTCTTATATTTTGACCATCCTATCAGTTATAGCACATTTTCTCCATTATTATTTATTCCCTTACCCTGTTTTATTGTCACTAGCTGTCACTAGAAAATAAATATAAGCTCTGTATGGCAGGAGTTTTATCTGTTTTAGTCACCATTGTATCTCTAGAGCCTTAAAAAATGTGAGATATAAAACTGGAACACACAGACACAGGCAGACACAGGCAACAGTATGGTGGTTACCAGATGAAAGGGGTGTGGGGTAGTAAAAGGAGGCAAATATAAGGTGATGGAATATAATGTGACTTTGGGTGGTAGGCACAAAACGCAATATACAAAGCATGTACCACAGAAATCTACACTTGAAACCTCTATAATCTTATTAACCAATGCCAGACCAATAAATTTAACTTAAAAATAAACATTTGTTGAATGAGTGAATTCCTACTCTTCACTGTGTTCATACACCTCAAAATCAGGATGCCATCACAAGAAAACAGGGAATGAGGAAATTTTTATGCTCCTGGGATTAGCATAACCATCTAAGGCAACGGTTTCTCAACCTGTGGGTCGCGACCCCTTTGGGGGTCGAATGACCCTTTCACAGGGGTCGCCTACAACCATCAGAAAACACATATATAATTACATATTGTTTTTGTGATTAATCACTGTGCTTTCATTATGTTCAATTTGTAACAATGACATTGGGGGTCACCACAACATGAGGAACTGTATTAAAGGGTCATGGCATTAGGAAGGTTGAGAACCACTGGTCTAAGGTAAGAAAACAGGCCTCTAAGTCCAGAAGACCTGGCTACATCACCTTCCTGGCCAGCAATCAATTTAAAAAAATGTATTTTTATTGATTTTAGAGAGAGAAGGTAGAGGGATTGAGAGATAGAAACATCGATGAGAGAGAAACATCAATCAGCTGCCTACTGCACACCCCTAACTGGGGATCAAGTGCCCTGACTGGGAATTGAACCATGACCTTCTGGTTCATGGGTCAAACTCAAACACTGAGACACACCAGCCTGGCCAGCAAGCAATTTTTTAATCGTGGTAATACCATCACTGTTCACTAACCATTCATGCGCCAGATCTTCACCTGACGGTCATCTGCCCCAGATACAATAAGGGGCATAGTGGGGTGGAAGGCGGCCCAGTTTACTCCACGATCATGACCCTGTGGGAAAAAACAAGGAAAGAAGTGTTCTTCTAAAACAGCTTTATGTCCATTACTCAAAGCAAACTAATGAACCATGCTGATGGTTATAAAATGTTTCTCTGATTTTTATTCTTCATATGAAAAGACTAAAGGGACTATTACTATATCAATCTATCCAATATTATCCCCAAATTCTAATGGGAGTTCTTCTATTCCCATATTCAGCTGGGTTTGCCATATACTGCCTTGTTTTATTACCTGTCTATTTATAAATTTCTACTAACTATAGCATCTCAAGAATAAAGACCAAAAAAACCCCAACAAAACAAAACAAAACAAAACAAAACAAAAAAAAGAATAAAGACCAATTTTATAACTTAACTAGAGGCCCGGTGCACGGATTTGTGCACCAATGGGGTCCCTCGGTCTGGCCTGCAGGGATAGGGCCGAAACCGGCTCTCCGACATCCCCTGGGGGGTCCCAGATTGTGAGTGGGCGGTTCTTGGGTGACACACCCCAGAATCGGGCTCCCTCCTCTCTGGTTCCGGGTGCATCACAGGTGATGCAGCTGCAGGTGACTGCAGCTTGGCAGCTCCTGTTTTGAGCGTCTGCCCCCTGGTGGTCAGTGTGCGTCATAGCTACTGGCAGGTTGGCCAGTCGCTTAGGCTTTTATATATATGTAGATGAAAAAATTCTCAAAGTATAGTTGGAAAATTGGATAATAATCAAGATCCTTTTAGGAAATCTGCAAGATCAAAACTATTTTCATAATAACACTAAGATATTACTTGCCTTTTCATTACTTTTCTATCTTAAATGTAATTTTCCAGAGTTACATGCATATGATGCCATTGCTTTGATGGCTAATGGAATGTGTACTTATATACTTTATATTTTATAAGTTCCTGGTTGAATTTCAAATATGGTAAAAATTGACATCTATAACTTACATTAACAAAGACTATTTGGGGTCAATAAGTTTTCAGAGTATAAGGAAGTTTTCAGCCCAGCTGATGAGGCTCATGGTTGAGCGCCAACCCATGAACCAAGAGTTCACTGGTTTGATTCCTGGGTTACAGGGTTGATCCAGTAAGTGGCTTGCAGGAGGCAGCCGACTGATGATGTTTCTATCTCTCTATCCCTCACCCTTCCTCTCTCTCTAAAAAAATCAATAAAAACATTTAAAAAAATCTTCAGATCACAAAGTTTAAGTGCCGCTTATTTTTAAAAAAATATATTTTATTAATTTCAGTGAGGAAGGGAGAGGGAGAGAGAGATAGAAACATCAATGATGAGAGAGAATCATTGATCAGCTACCTCCTGCATGTCTCCTACTGGGGATTGAGCTCGCAACCTGGGCATATGCCCTGACAGGGAATCAAACCATGACCTCTTGGTTCATAGGCTGATGCTCAACCACTGAGCCACGTTGGCTCCCTCTTTGCACTGTTTTTATAAGGTAACATAATTCTCCCTTACGTGGCATGTAAGCTTCATTTCTGATGGCTCACCTACTATTCTATTTCCAGTGTCTCAAAACAGTGCTCAGTAGTTAATAAGCACTGCATAAACCTTTGTTGAAGGAATGAACACATGAATGACATTCTGTCACTGTTTCCCTGGAAAACAGCCCATACCCAGTGATGGCTGTAAAGAGAAGTACCTCCAGTACATGCTTCACCACTGCATCCGTAGTTCCGAACAGATCAACCCCAGTAATTCCTCTCACATCCGACTCCACTGCGCCAGGGGACAAGTTTTTTTTCCTTAGACCTTTGATGGGATAAGGAGTGGGATGAAAGATGTAAACAAAACGTTACCAAAAACAGCACAGTAACAGAAGCACAGAAGGCAGTGATAGGCTAACTAACATTAACAAAAAGGAAGGGAGAAAGAAATTTAGAGAGACTGAAGAAGAGATACTAAAGAGCTCCCATCTCTTTCTAAAACTGTTCAAAATATTGAAGTACATTCACTGTCTTCTCTTTTGCTCCCTTAACACTGAACAGACCCACTACTGGGATTTCTTCTCAGAGGACAATCCAAACTTCTACCACAGCTAACTTCTTCAACAAACCTCACCTCAAGAATTGTCTACTTGAGATAATACTCATTTCTGTTCTTGAAATGTGGCCTCAAGAGGTAAACATTCAATTTCTACTTTTTCATTTTCAACTCTATGAAAACTATAGCAACTTTTCTTCTTTCATCTCAAAGAATTTTCAAAGAAAAGCCACTGGGGGAGGCTACAGATCAGTGTTTCCCAAACTGGGAGCTTTTAGGCAACTCATAGGGAAGTTCCAAAGGAGTTAAGGAAACTAGACCTATTAAATATAAAGCAGCTATTTGGTGGAAGATACTGTAAAACTATAAACTATACAAAAAATGCACTCATGTCTTCTACCTGCCTCTTAGGCAAGGGACAAAATAATTCAAACTGTCATGTCCCATTAAGCTCCTGCTTAAAAGACTGGTGATAGATCTGAATACATGTACTTTGCCATCAAAACATTTGGAGGCTAGTTTCATTGGGAGGAATTAGCCCATAATTTTGAAAATAATGGAAAAAAGACACCAGGATAAAAAGAATCCTGTTTGCAGCCATAAAAAAGAATGAAATTATGCCATCTGCAACATGATGGATTGAGAGGGTACTGTGTTAAATGAAATAAGTCAGAGAGAAAAGGGGGAAATGCCATGTGATTTCACTTAAATGTGAACTCTAAAAGACAAAAGAAACTAATAATCAGAACAGAAACATACTCATAGATACAGAGACCATTTTCAGGATTTCCACATGGGAGGGAGCTTGTGGGGATGGGTGAAAAAAGTAAAGGGATTAAGGAGTACAAATTGATAGCTACAGAATAGTCATGGGTAGATAATGCACAGCACAGGGAATATAATCAATAATATTGTAATAACTATGTATGGTGTCAGATGGATACTAGATTTATTGGGATAATCACTTAGGTTTATAAATGTCTAATGACTGAAATGAATATAATATTGTACATCACTATAATTGAAAAATAAAATATTAAAAAGAAAAAGAGTCATATTTGTATAGGATCCACATTTATGGCAAAACTACAGTTATCTTTAAAAGCTAACTATTTGTATTATAGTCAAAATCAAAATTATAACATTACCACCTTACACTTGAGAAAAACTTTGTGGTTTTCAAAGCACTCTAACATATGTTATGTGATTAATAGTTTATAAATGAAATAATAGAATTGGAACTCAAATCATATCTTTTAAAGTATTTTTGGGCCCTGACTGGTTTGGCTCAGTGGATAGAGCGTTGGCCTGGAGACTGAGGGGTCCCGGGTTCGATTCCGGTCAGGGGCATGTACCTTGGTTGTGGGCACATCCCTAGTAGGGGGTGTGCAGGAGGCAGCTGATCGGTGTTTTTCTCTCATCAATGTTTCTAACTCTCTATCTCTTTCTTCCTCTCCGTAAAACAATCAATAAAATATTTTTTTAAATTATTAAATTGCCTTAGCTAGGCCACAGGGAAACCGTTGTGCTAGTAACAGGTGCATAAACTCTTTGAACACCATAAGGCCTTTCTCAACCCGGTGCTCTAGGAAAGGATTAAGTCCTAGTGGTCAAAGTATCAATTTATGCACATAACAAATTAACTTTTTATGATCTAGAATGGCATTAGTTATATATTATTCTTGGAAAAACTGAGAAAACAGTCCCTCAAAGTATTGGAGTAGCCTTAATTCTCTCAGAACCCCATCTGGGAA